CAGGAACTGAGTCTATTGCTTTGACAATAGAACCTTATTCCATGGAAGTAGCTAAAGATAAAATTCTGTGTTGAAGTGTATATAAACTAACCTATGTCTTATAGAGCATTTTAGGAAAGAGGTCAGTATTTTTGAAGAGCGGTGCATCAGCACATGAAGTACTTGAGCAGGGTCCCCTCTATTAATGCTAAATGTCCATTGAAGTAACTAATGCAATCACTTTTTTTGTCAGAAGAAGAATCAACATGTAAAAGCATGACTACTGAAAGGAATCGAAAAATCAAAAAATAGGTTACAGAAGGATAAAGGATAATATACAGTCTCTCCTACTTAGTGTATAACTGGAAAAAGGTGCTGCTGTGGATTGCATGTGTAACTTGTTTAAAAAAAAAAAAAAGGAAGAAATATGAAGCCAGAGAGAAGTTGTTATGCATGGTGCTCAGGTTAATGGCAAGCTTCTTACCTTGCACTCCTTTTTCTCTTTGGGGGGGGAAAAAAAAAGATGCTTAAAAAACCACAGTGGTTATAGTATTCAAGTGCTCAATAAGTAGTACCTGTGGTCTGTGCATTACAGCATAACTAAATAACTGGTATATTGCTAACTTACTTATTTCAGTTCTTTTCCTTTATCTACTCAGTGCTACCATCATTCCCTATATGATGCTGCAATAACTTTTTTTTCAGGTACAGAAGCACTTACAAAGTCTTAACTGAAGATGCATATTTAGTGTTGCCTTTCTAAGCATCAACAGTAAAATTCAAAGTGTGTGTTTGTAGTACCTTGCTGCTTCAGGGCTGTTTATTTGAGATGGATAAAAGCAGTCAAGGTTAGAGTCCAGTTGTTGACAGTTACTGTTGTATATTTTACTTTGAACTTGTAGTCAGTTCTGAAAATCCTCAATGTCTGCACTGCAGCAGTGTTACAGGCCTCTCAAAAGCTGGTTTAGTGAAAGATGGTTAAGGCAGGTATATTTCCCTGTGCACATCATGGCAAGTAAAGCTGACTTTTTCCTTGTAATGTTCAGCTCGTACCAAGGGACGTTGCCCCAAGCAAGCATAATTGTAAAACACTTGGTGCTGTAGTTACAATCCTTAAGGTGATGTTTATTTTACACAAATTAGTAGAGTACAGCAATTTCCAACTGCTGTGAAGAGCTAGAAGTTCAGCACAATAATTGATTTGTTACTATTGTTAAAATACTTCTCCTGCATTATAGTCTTTGTCTGCTGGGAGATGGATCTGAATAAAGGAGCAGAGCAGCTGAAGTAGGACAATTTGAGAGAACACAATTATGTGTTTTATAATTACCAGCAGAAACCGAGAAACATCCATGGATTTTTGTGCTGCATAGGTGCATAAAGTGGGTAATACAACCCAGTCCTGGTTTCATTTCTTAGAGCTTGGCATTTGTAGGCAAGCTACTACAGGGATGATGAGCCTGTGACATGAGCAGTCTCTGTGTGGCACATGTGCCACAAATGAAATGCAGCAAATGGAGCAGGAGAAGAGTATTGGAGCTGCACTTTGGGAAGGGTCAGGGCTTATCTTGTAGCATGTCTGAAATAGGTTGGCCCCTACAGTCTTCACTAGTTGAGTCTCAATTTTAGCAGATCCCTCCAAAGCCTTTCATAATAGTCTCTTGTAAATAAACATTATGTTGCTATTGGGAAATATGCAGGTGCTGCCTAAGAGCCATTGTATTGTAGATAAATTGGTTGGTGGCTGCCATTTCGGAGATGTTTAAGGCTTACAACTATTCCCAGATATCAGAACTACTCCAGTTATTTGTTCTGTCTTTGGAATTGATAAATAAATATATTTTTATATAAAATACACATAATATGAAATAAATATAATTTATCACTTATACAACGTATAGAAATAAATGTATTCACGTAAAATATTATATATGTTGTTATAATATTAATATATTCCTGAGGTAAGTGGGGAAGTGGGTGATCTGGAAGAAGCACAAGCAGAAGGGGACAACAGGGAAGGCCTTCCTGAGAAAGTAGGACAGTCTGCTAGTTACTCTAGATGTCTATACACCAAGTCAGAGCCTAGGAAACAAGCAGGAAGAATTGGAAGTTCTCAGTCATGGGCCTATGATGCGACTGGAATCACAGAGACTTAATGGGATAGTTTGCATGACTGGGAATTTTTTTGAAATGAGAACATGAGTTACAGACCATTACCCTGACAAATCTGACGCAAACTCTTCACAGGAGCCCAGTGCTGTGTATAAGCATAGGTTAAGACATTACAAGCTAAAATCCAGGCGTGGAGGATTATGGGGCTAGAACAGGGTTTTTCAAGCTTTTTGAGTCAGTGTACCCCCGGCGGCTGGATGCCGAGCAGAGTGCGGGGGGGGGATGCAGCCAAATACGGAGCGGCGGCAGCCACCACATGCAACCTTCCCCTGCCCAGCCCTCTGCGTCCAGCTGGGCAGATGGGACAGTGCGTGGCAGCACTCTATCCCACCCATGTGTACCCCCTAGGGCTTGCTTGAGTACCGTGGGGATGTGCATACCCACGGTTGACAACCCCTGTGCTAGAACATTTGGGATGTGAATATAGCCAGGCATGTGGGCCCAAACTCATGCCATTAATTTGGGCCAGCTTCTTTTGAGTTCTTAATAGTACCATAGCAACAAAGTTTGGCTCGTGGGGCAAAGCCCGCAGCAGCAGTCCACCCTCACCACATGCGCAGATCCG